TACATATTTGAGAAAGAATACAAAACATAGGGATTATACCTCATCTTTAAGTTGGGTTTCAACAGTATCTCTCCCATCCCTATTTGACGCAGACACTGAAGGCTGATGATTAACACGCTTACGCTTTTTTTGCAATTTGCTTGGCTTTGAACCAGACTTTTTAGTATTATCAGCAACTCCGCTTTCCCTTGTCAGTCCTAGATTTGTTCTGACTGTCAATGTTGTAAAAATTAGGCTTCCTTTTCCTGTCTTTCCTAGAAGCGGCCTCCGAAACAGCTACAGGTTCACCAACTGGAGATCTATCACTAGAAGGCAAGTCAGGCTTCTTTTCTGAGGCTTTGTCATTTGTCTTTGAATCTGTCATATTCAAAAAGGGTGTTGCATCATTCATTGAAGAGCTCGGCTTCTCCAATGGAGTATCTGCAGAAGGCACCCCCTTCTCAGCTGGAGTATCTGAAGGAGGCACTTCCTTCTCCACTGGAGTATCTGAAGGAGGCACTTCCTTCTCCACTGGAGTATCTGCTGGAGGCACCTCCTTTTCATTATCAACACCTATGTGCAATGAACTACCATCCGCAGCACCATCCCGGGAATGGTCACTTGGTTCAATGTCACAAGGAACATCATTGGAGAAATTACCCAGCTTCTCCATTTGACTGAGGTGTGATAAAGGAGTTCTTTCTTTTCCCGAGGATCTTTTCTTACCAGGAATGGAGCTTTCAAAAATCAGGGATACCTTGGAGATTCCCGATGGCTTATTTTCATTCTTTGCTTTTCCACCTGTAACTTTTGTCCTTGCCCGTTTCGAGACCATATCTAGAGGATTAACAGACTCGTGTGTATCGTTCTTCTGATAACATGTTGGACATTCCCACTTTCCAGTTGGTATACGCTATATAGGAAAAAAAAATGTCAGTAACAAAAGTAAACTGGATAGGATAAATTGGAAAGGGAAACCCAAACTACAACATGAAAGGTTTAAATGAAAATCGTCAATCCGGTTTTAAATAAAGCAACTATCAGTATACCTTAAGAGGAGGATCCAGACACTGAATATGGTATGTACGCGGACAGCTTTCACAGCAAAGCAAATTTCCACCAAGATCACAAACAACACATTCATAATAGTACTGGATGAAAGCAGATGGAAACAAGAGTCAGAAGCATTTTGAAAAGGCAAATGTATAGAAGCGATAAAGGTCGTGGAAAATACGTAAATCACACAGCAAGGCAATAAATCTCAAATAGCTTTTTTGGTCAGACAATTCTGGCAAGTTGATAGCAAACCTAACAGCTAGAGCTTAGAGGTAACGTACTCATAAAGAATTAACCAAAAAGAGAAAAGCAAGGACAACCAAAAACTTTAAGAATACCAACTAAAGATGCATGTTGGTCTCTTGATCAAGAAGTAAGGGAAATCTTCCTCCTAAACTACAGTTCAAGTCTTGTTTACCATGTAGTTTTACTGCCATAAATTGGAAAAGAAATAAAGAAAAACATAATGAATATACTAACCCATCATTTCCTTTCTTCTTGCTAGAAGAACGACTTGAAGTGATTTCATTTTTCACTCGACATTTGGGTGAGTCACTCGAGGGTAAATCCAAGGGTTTTGAAGCCTTTTCTTTGCCATTTGACACATCAGGACCAGATGGAAGTTTTCGACGCTTGCGTTTTAAGACCCAGTTTCTGTTAAGCATTTTACTGGACGGTGAACCGTTTTCTTTCATCATTGCATACAGGATTGTACATCTCAAGCCAGAAAATCAGGACTCTCAGGCATCAAACTGATCACATATGCCTGCAAAAGTTTGTTTCTAAGAGCATTAGACATGAACCTGAAGGGAAAACTAGAACACCTTCCGGAAATAAAGGTAAAGAAAGAAGATTTGAGCATACTGCATGGACAGAAAACATAGTAGGCTATTCAAATAGGAAAAAACTTAAAATTTTAATCTACATTACAACATAGCTCCCTAACCTTCGATCTCGCTTCTACTTTTTCCCTTCGTTTTTTTTAGAGGCATCTTTGACGCTCTTAACTATAAAACAAATGGAAAAGCCACTTTCTTAGGATGAACACATCATAGTGTGCTGGAGATTTCTAATGCATTCACATAGATGACAACTTAGTTAGCTGATTAAATCTTCATTCACTGAACGAGTATCAAACATTGTTTTCGTTGTAGATGATCATTTTTTTTATGAACATGATACTAGCTTGTGAATACCTAGTGTTGCGTAATCGAACATGTAATTGAGGATGCAAAGTAGAATGTTGAAACTAGATCCATGAAACTCATCATAATTAATGTGTAAGAAAGATGAAAGCTACCTCAAAATTAAATGGTGGAAAAGAACACAAGAAATAATAACATTGGGAACACTAAACATGAATTGACCCTACAGAGACCAACATTGACCTAATAATTTCTAGAGAAACACTACAAATAAACCTTAAAACGAAGTTAGCATCAGCCAAAGGAAGATAATTGGCTAATCTAAAAATGAACACTAGGACTAAGTAGCAACGAGGTATACTTTTAATATAGTAGGATTGGTTTAGCAAAAAAATATGCATCCAAATAAACAGACATGAATACACTACCTTGACTAATTTAACAAAAAAGGTAAGCATCACTTCCAGAAATTTTCCAAACTAGGATAAAACGAGACAAGTAGCTGAAATCATAAATTGAAGATGCAGCTAGTGGAATATGAAAGTATAACTTCGTAGGTTCAACACGGTTCATGAATCAAGATTGAAGGTATATAAAGAAACCGAACTTAATTAATTAAAGGACAGTTTAGATTATCAGAAATGCAAGTACATCACTATTACTTGGAAAACACCAACTTCCACAACAATCTGTTTCACACTTATGATTTAAAGCACCAACTTCCACAACAACACAACAATCTATTTCACATATATATATGGGGAGATGATTTATAACCAAGCCCTCAAACAGAATCTAATTAACAGGATTACGCCATAGTAAGGCAGGTTAGGGGAAATTATACCATGTTCTTCACTTCCAACATAGATGTAGGCATTTCATTTAGAAATTTATATGGCACTAAAATCCGAGTTAAAATTCAACCAGATAAGGAAAATAGCACAGTTGCATTTCATTTCCAACATAGATGTATGTGTTTCATTTAGAAATTTATAAGGCACTAAAACCTGAGCTAAAATTCAACCAGATAGGGAAAACAGCACAACTGCAATTAAAGAATCGCTAAAACCTAAATTAAGATTCAACCAGATAAGGAAAACAGCAACAATCACAATTAAAGAATCGCTAAAACCTAAACTAAAATTCAACCAGATAAGGAAAACAGCAACAATCACAATTAAAGAATCGTTAATTTCTATTTCAACAGACCTTAGAATCAAGTAGCAACTAGCAACGCAAATGCTCAGGTCAGTAGAGACTTACTAAAGCCATTCAAATAATTTTGATGAATACTGAAGCCATTCAAATAATCCAAGCCACATTTTTCCTCTTTATCAATCCAGCAGAACAAGCATGTGTTATACAGAAAACAAAACCATCACATGCATGCACAGCTGAATTAAACCATCAATGATCATAACCCTTTCAAAACCCCTCTACCATTTCAATTAGCACCGCCAACACACAATTCAAATCACCTAAAGATCAAACCTTTACAACAAAATCAAGCTAAACACACAACATTACCACCAATCAAGCAACACCCACATCAAACTAAACAACAAAACACACAAGAATCAGCTCAAATTAAAAATTTAACAGAAAAAACTTAGCAAGTCCCATTCTTTTTTCAAAATGACACCAACCCAGATAAAGATTAACACATACCTGCAGATCAAAACAGATAAAAATCCAATCTTTATATATATCTCAGCTGAATCAAGAACAACAAAGTAAGAAAAGGGTAAAAGGGGAGTAACCCAATTTAGGGTATGAGGTATACAAGAAAGAGAGAGAGAGAGAGAAAGCAAGCGGTAGAAGGCAGACAAAAGATATAAATAGAGAGAAAAGGTTTTAGAGAGAGAGAGAGAGTGCATCCAAATACGGATTCACCGGGGTTATAGGACTTTGGGGGTTACACATCACAACACACACAGCTCAACACAAACACCAAACACTGACATGGCAGGCCAAAGGAGGGGGGAGGGGGGGTTAGGGGGGTCTGTTTCTTAGGGGGGGTGGGGTAGGTTTGTGGGAAGCGAGCCAAAGGACATTGCCACTGAGATGATGACACGTGGAGGTCTGAATGGTTGTCCCATTCTCTCTCTTCACACTTTTCATCACACTTCTCTTTGATTCTTGAATGAGAAGAATAGGAGACTGAGAAGAGAGATTAAACAGAATCTGTTGAACCATTCTTGTAATCTCATGTTTATATATGTTTCTGTCATTTCTCTCTCTACAAATTTTTTAATTCTAAATAAATAATATTATATTTTTCTTCAGATACTTCAAACTTACTTCCTTTTTCTTCTCTCTCTATATTTTTTTCATTATAGTCCCCATCAAGTGTTCTCTAAGGCATTTGATGAAAACTTTTATTTTCCACGACTAGACATGAAATTTAAGAAAAATATTTAAATTTTATAATATTATAATACATTTTTAGTCTTGTGACTTTAGGTATGTCGAATAAAATATAAGACGAATAAATTAAAATAGAGAAAATATTATTATTGTTATTTTAGGAATAATCTAATCTAATTAAAAATTAGAGAAATATATCAATGGCCTTTTAAATTTGTCAATAAATTTATTAGATTTTCAAATACAATATATGTTTTGATGTAGCAAGTAAATATATAATAAAGTGAATACTTTCAATTCAAATTTTAGAAAAAAATTATATCAGTGTTTTCAAATGTTTATCATGTTGTCATATCCTTTAATTACATACGTTCATTTTATAATTGAAACACACCCAAGATTTTGCGATTTATTGAGATTGATACGTATAATTAAAAATATAACATATTTATAATTTAATTATGTAACTTTTCAAAAATTTAAACTGAAAGTATCTAACACAGACACCTTATTACATATTCAAGTACTCGATCAACATATCCTAAGTTTAAATATTTAAATAAATTTTATTAATAAATTTAAGAGTTTGTTTATGTATTCCGCCTTCGAGAATATGTCCTTATTTATATATGATATTTGTAGTAGTACCTTTTTTCATATATTGAAAGTTACCTAACATATCATTACGGAGTTGGAGGAGCAATGTAGATAGATCCTTTTGTAAATCTATGATGGTGTTATTTATAGAAAATATACTTGTTTGAAAGTGACTGCACATTTTTCTTGCTTCTGCAATTTTGGGTTATTGGATTATTAAAAAATAAAAAATATTTTTTTAATTTTCAAGTAAAAGTTCTTGCAATTGTTAATATCCTAATTAAAGATGTTTATACTATTACATTTATAGTTTTCACTGTAATAATTTATTTATATCATGCATAAATCATCATTCATTAACATAAGTAAAATAATTATCAATCTCATTAGTCTTAAACAATGTATACACTGTATTAGTAGTAGTAATTAGATATTAATGAAGTTTTCTGTTGATATTAAATATAACAAGACCATAAGGTAGTAAATGTACTTTAAAGCATCAACTAAACAAGAAAATTTGATTGTTCTTGAAAAATTAGTTATATTTTGATATGCACATAATAAATATGGTCATGTCCTTGAATATTATTTTGGCAAATAATAATAATAATTGTGTTTTGACTTGAATATGATTTATTTACTTGTATATTAAATGTTTATTTTTGAAAAAATCAGTCAAATATACGTTACATATCTTAAATGGGTTTTGTATTTGGATTTGCGCTTAGAAATGTGGTCATATTCTTGAACATATTTTGGCAAATAATATTAAGTGTTTTCGACGGAAATCAAATTTATTTACATGTATATTAAATGTTTGTTGACTTTGTTCTTATTTGAAATGAGTCAATTATACATAACATATTTAAAGAATTTTTTTTTATATTTTGATATGCACATAGTAAATGTGGTCATGTCCTTGAATATTTTTTGGCAAATAAAAATAATTATTTTTAAATTTAATTTATTTATATGTATATTAAATA